CATTGACACAGAATTGGAAAGCTCAAAAAAATTCAGTTCCTGGGATAGTTAGAACAAGAATAGAGTCTTTCCTCATGCCTCAACCTTCATAATGTTAATAATTTTAGCATTTTGGTTAAAGTGGCTCCAGTTTATATATTCCCTACCTTCCCTCTTTTCTTAGAGGCAACAAGCACTTATTTGGAATAAAAGAAAAATTGCAGGGCCGGCTGAGTGGCTCATTGGTTAAGAGTTGGCTTGGGAGCGCAAGCTCTGAGCAGCAGAGCCACTGGTACGGATTCCACTTGAGGGCCAGTGACACTGTGCCCTCGCAGCTAAGATGGTGAACAACAGCTCGACCTGGAGCTGGGCTGCCGTGAGTCGCCGGAAACGGTGTAGGCTGCAGTGGGCTGCCATAAGCTACCGTGAGTGGCCGGCAGCCAGTGTGAGCTGCCGTGAGCCACCGTGAGTGGCCGTCCAAAGGCCGGCAACCAGTCTGCCTCACCTAGGAAAAGTGCAATGATTACAATACCAACATAGGCCAGTGAAGCAACATCTTCCACAACTAGACTGAAGAACAAAAAGGATAGCAACTTGTCTGTTCCCTTTCCCCAATTCCCCAACGCTGTTCCCTCCCCCAATTCCCCAGTAAAATCTTTAAAAAAAAAATTGCAGTTTGGGGAGAACCAATTCAGACAGAAACCCAAATAGCGTCTCAATCACAGGATGAGGGCAAGGGGTTTTTATGAGGCAAAGAGGAGAATAATTTAATGACTAGAAGAAAGAAATTTCTATTGGTGTTAACAAGCTGAGTTACTCTTTAGCTATACATGGCTGGTTGCTGATTCTATCTTCAGAAAGAGAGTCCATAATCACCAATTTTGTGGTCAGGATGTCTGCATTCCTATTAGCTTTGCAAACAGCTGTTTGTAAGACAATGTTGGTTTGGCCCAGGGTGTATGGGAAAGGAGTGGAATCCATTTACTCCCTATAATGACAATATGTAGGTTCCTCATAGAAGAATGACATCATGAAGCCAAAAGGCATAAGCCGAAAGACAAACTTCAGGGTCCAAATCCGCCCTCCTTCACTGAGGCTGTCCTGAGAAATGTGGTAGACAGGAGGACTCAAAGGATGCTGGTAGATTGACTCTTGCTGTCACATGCAGCCTCTCACTCCTAAACCTTCCCATGGACAAAGACTTACTTTCTTGTAAATGGAATGTGTGAAGGACATAACTTACTACCCAAATGATGACAAATGAGGACTATGGAAAGGAAGGGCCACAAACATATCAAAGTACCAAAGATAATGGTTTAAAGAGTTTAAGGATGGTATGCATGCCCATCGATGTACTGAGTCATTCTTAGGTCAAGGGAGCAACAAACAATCCCAGGTTCTCCTGTTCCATCAATCCGGGGGACCCAAACAAGTCTTTTCATCTCTGTCTTCATGCCCCTTGTAAATGGTGGCATTGTGATAACTACCTCCCCTGGTTACCATGCATTTCAGATCAAAGTATCTGAAAATTAAAGAGCTGGGGAAAGGAAAGAAGCTCTGTGTGGTTCTCCAGATTGTCTTGAGCCTGGAAATCAAAAATCTCTGAAGGTTTACAAGGCTTTAAATAGACAATTGTTTTTTCTTCTTTTCATAAGATTACGTGGGTAGGAGAGGGGTGTTTACAATTCAGTAGCTATTTAGTTGTGAACACCAAGGAGAAGGAAATTAAGTTGAAATGGATACATGTATTAGGGAGGGAGGGAGGGATGGATAAATGGATGGATGGATGGATGGATGGATGGATGGATGGATGGATGGATGGAATCATTCTTGGTATACAAAATGCTGCTGCCCACTCACTGTCTATGGCATTCTCTTTTTTTTTTAAAGATTTTTATTGGTGAATTGGGGGGAAGGGAACAGTGCTGGGGAATTGGGGGAAGGGGAACAGACAAATTGCTGTCCTTCTGTTCTTCAGTCTAGTTGTGGAGGACGTTGCTTCACTGACCCAAGTTGGCACCATCATTGCGCTCTTCCCAGGCGAGGCAGATCAGTCACCGGGCTTCTGGATGGCCGCTCACTGAGGCTGCTGGCCACTCACGCTGGCTGCTGGCTACATACGGTAGCCCATGGCAACCCACTGCCACAGGGGCCATCGCCGGCGACTCACAGACACCCAGCTCCAGGTTGAGCTGTTGTTCAGCATCTTAGCTGTGGAGGGCAGTATCACTGGCCCTCATATGTGGGATCCGAACCGGAGCCCTCTGGCATCCCAAGCCAGGTCTTAACCATCGCGCCACTCGGCCGGCCCTATGGCATTCTCTTCTGAGTGGTGGTTATTGGCTTGCCACTAATGAGAAGCATTTTTGGGACTGTTTGGGTCTATTTAGAGTTTATCTGGAAAGTGGTCATAAAACCAGAGAGACTAAAACTTAGTAGCCTAGCAGACCATTAGCCTTAACAAGTATCATCCACTAATCTAGCAGTTCTCAACTCTTTTCTGGCTGCCAGGACATAGGACTAGCGAGGCTCACAGGCAGAACACCCTCCCATGATGGAAGAAGCCAAGATTATGCATAATGCCTGGAGCTCTATTTAAATACCCACCCACACTCCCACGCATACCCTTTCTATTGGTCAAAAAAAATGCAAATGTGAAAATAAGGATGCTGTTATTACAAGTCTAGTCCTGTTTCTACTCTATATTATGAAAAAGTATTATAATGCACTTGTCAGTTTTCAACCTTAAACTAATTTTATAGCAAATCCCAACAGCAAGGTTAAGGCCACCCAGAGGTGTAGCCAACTGTATCTGTACCTATAATTCTTATTTGCTGAGAAACCCCAAGTAGCCCATGGACAAGGAGGCAGGGCCTGCAGCCCCATGTCCTGTAACCCTGATGGGCCTGGCTGAGCCTACAACAGCAGCCAGGTGTGCTGAAGCCTGGCAGGTGACCCAAACCAGCCTTACCAAAACCGATTTATGGTTGGCTTGGAGTCTGGCGATGGCATTCTCATTCAACTTGAGTTTCCGCTCCAAGTCTAACTGGGTGACCCGAAGCTCAGCCTAAGAAAAGAAAAGGACAGTGTTAAGCCCAGTACTCACAGAAAGTCCCAAAAGCAACAGCACTCTCCACCTTCTTCCATGAAAAGGAGAATTTGACCTCAAAAGCTGCTCTTAGAAGCCAGCCTAGAGTGTGCTAAATGAAGGCGCAGACAGTCGTCTGTGTGCCAGCACCTTCTGGGGCTGAAGTAAGCATGAAGTGGCTAAAATAGAGGGAGCACATACATTGTGCTGTGCTGGTCATCGTTTCAAGCATTTATATGGATTACCTCATATTATCCTAAGCACACACACATGTCATTATCTCCATTTTACAAATGATAAAATCGAGCCACCCATCCAAGTTCACACAGTTGAACAATCGAGTTGAGCCCAGGCCATCTGTCCCAGAATAACCTAACAAGGAGTGCAGGTTTGGAGCTGGTTGTGGAGATCCCAGGTTTTCTACTTAGCAGCTGAGACTTTGGAAAAATCTATTTAACATCTCCAGACTTCCATTTTTTCACCTGTGAAATGGGATAACTAAAGTGCTTAATTTTTAGGGTTATTGTGAGAGGTGAACGAGATAGCATATATAAATGAGAACTTTGTACAGTAGCCGGTACATTGTAAGTGCTCCATCAATATCAGCGATGTCATCATCATCACCATTATTCTTATTCTTGTTGCTGCCATGCCTGCTTTCCTTCACATACTCTTGATCTTGTTCACTCCTGGAAGGAGGCTGGCATAGCAAACCCTCCCAGCTGAGGCAAGTGCCTGCCTGAGAACCCACTGCCCAGCTTCAGACTCACCTCCTGGGGCTCCTTCAACACTTTCTGCCAAAAATTGTTCCAAGGCATGAAACCTAAGCCTTTGAAAACTTGCCTGCTCCCACAAGGGCATGAGACAGCAAAAAAAGAGCTTTAACTGCTTTTAATAGATTATGTCTATTCAAAGCCATGAGTCATTACACTGTAATAGAACTCAATGGGAATAAATGAAGTGTCTCACCCCTTTCACTGAAGCCTGAGGAAATTCCAGGCCTCTCAGTGAGGGAAGACTTGGCAGGCAGGGGACTCGCCTCACAAGGGCACTCTGCAAGAGGCAGGTAACATTTGCTCAGGCTCTGGGGCACTGACTTGGAACTGAGGGAACCCCAGGGACCTCCCAACCTGAGACCTGAGACCTAATGCCCAGGAATGAGGAAAAGGAGTGAGAGGGGAGGGGGCCTGAACTATTGGGGGATTATCATGGAATCTTAATCTGTTGAAAAAGCTTTCACGGTGCTATCTGCTAGAGTGGGAGGATGGTGTGGAGGGGAGGCACAAACTGCTTGTTTAAAGGTGGTGGCAGGCACAACGGAACACCCTAGCAACAGGCATGGACGTGAAAATGTGGTACCGCTGTCAGCCCCAGCATGACCCAGAGCCACAGGGAGGCCCTCAGAGAGTCTCCAGTGAGAGACTTCTCTCCACAGCTTGCATATTACCGTAAAAGGAGGAAAGCACTCCCAAGTACCTAATGGAGACCTCTCTGAGTGAGTCACCCCAAGGGAAGTCTCTCTTGTTCACCACAAAAGGCGGGGTCATTTTGGGAGACCAGTATTTCTAGTTGTTCTTGTTCCTAGAAAATAATGGGATGCTTCAGACTCTGGCTTCAGGATTTCCCAAGATGCCAGCCATACACACATTTCAGGCCATGGTGGGTCATACACCAAAGCAGAACAGTGGTACCAGTGAGTATAGACAGCCCTATGTTGAAGGGCACAGAGAGTCCTGCCTACTTCAGCAGGGTAATGACAAATGTTGTGCAAAAGTCACCATATTTGGGGTCTGAAGGCCTGCCATTGCTGGCTATCCGATCTTTGTCAAATCATTTAGTGTTGCCTCTGGTGCAGGGCCACAGAATAGGTCAACAGAATTAGTTCTTGCTTCTATCTACAGCACAAAGGTGGCAACGTGGAGCTTGGTGGCCAGGGATTGGGTTAGGAATGCAGATAGGAGGAGCAGAGGGCGTGAGAAGAGAGAAGAAAATTCCAGGTGGTGGTATTTCCTTTGTATTTCCAACCACGAGATGTTGGCCTTTCTGGAGTGTTGGCATTTTGTTTGCACCTGACTTGATATCTCCATCAATTGGTCAGAACCTACTACATGCCAGTCCAATTAAGTAAGACACCCTCCCTGCTCTTGAAAGACATACAACCTGGCAGAATATTTAAGAAAAAAATGTTACATTATACTGAGTCCAAGGCATGCCTCAGAATTTCTAGAAGAAATTCCTGTCGTGAGTGGCCTTGAATCATCCACCTTCTGGATACCAGCAAATGGGCTATAAATAAGCTAGTGACTCTCCCCACACTCACACCCAGATGCACAAAACACCTGTGTCCCTCATACACTTGGCTGCTGCTCTATGTGGAGACCATCTGTGGGCAGCATCTAGTTCTGAACTTTCTGGAACCAATGTTGATGTTAAATGTAATGACCTGTCACTAATGGACGTTAAGATTTGAGACGGAGCCCAGCTCAGTCTTCTCTCCTCCAAGAGCCCTGCCGTGACCTCACCTGCCCCCACCCCGTGACTGCTCCCTTCTTTGATCATGTGGCAGTGTATTGCCCCAGCCCTTTGGCACTCCAGGGGGCCATGGAATGTGCCTTGACTTCCTGAGTCCACACTCCCTGAGGATGGACAGTGTAGCTTCACACTTTGTCCATAGGAAGCACTCCATAATGTTTGATCAACTTGAGGAAGAATAAGAAAGAACCATGTGTATTTTGTGGGCCAGAACAAACAAAAAAAGTAGTGAAAGGAGTGCAAGTTTTACAACACACACGTGCATGCACGCACACAGTTTCATTTCCACAGCAGCAAGCCTGAGATTCAGAGGAAGAGGGAGGAGGTAAGACCAGCTGCTCTTCCAAGCAAAGGGATGCGGGGAAGCTGGCCAGGAGGAAAGGGACATGCTGGGGTCTCCAGTAGGAAAAGCCCAGCAGAATGGAACAAATAACCAAAGAACACCCAAGACTCCCAAAACCCAGAGTGTTCGCCCCCTGAAATAGCTAGAGACCTTGGGAGCTTCAGAAAGGGCTCACTTGGTTAACCAAGAAATAAGTTGCTCTGCGGACCCAGTGCAGGATCTCAGCTGCTTTGCGCCCTCATGGTTGATCCTGCCATTTGCAGTTTTCTATGTACAACATGCCTGCTTGAGTAATTAGCCCTTAACAGGATCCAAAGTGACCTTCAGCAAGAAAAGCCAGCAGGCATGGGCCAGCTGAAGGGAGTATCAGGCTTCTGGGGCCTTAGTTATGTCGAATAAAACTTCCCAAATAATCCTGGTGGCAGTTGCAGCCTCATCAAGGTACTATGTCTTTGGGGCTGGTCTCAGGCTCCTTGCAAGAAATCTTTTGGCTCCTAAGATTTGGCAGAGCCATCTAGGGTGTGGCTGCCACTTACAGAGTAAATTTGTTCTCAGAGCTAAAAACAAGGACACAGGATAGAAAGGACAAGAACTCTCTTAGGCAGACCAGAAAGTAGGGGTTGTGAATTGGAGCCATCACCCAAAATCTGGGGGCTGGGGCTGTTGTATTGTACTTACAACCATGATTGCTCTTCAGCACCAAAAACCACCCTAGAACCCTTAGCCCGTTGTCTTTATTTTGCCTTACCAGCTCTCTCCTAGCACACCTGGATTTGGGGTTCCACACATGCTCTACACAACTCTTCCTGCTCAGAACTATAGTTACCCTAAGTCTCAGTAATGCGTCAGTTTACACCATGTTTAAAATTCATATTGTATCTATGCTGCTACAGGCACAGAACATTTCTGGGGGAAAAAACCAAGAAATTGTAGATGGTAGTGTTTGCCTCTGAGGAGAGAGATGGAGGACTCAAGATGGGAGGAAGACCTTTCCCTGGTATAATCTACTGCAATTTTTGGTGGAGATTGTTTTTCAACATGTACGTGCATCACATTTCCAGTTAAGTATAATGAAATTCAGATATTATACCCAAAGAAAAAAGCAGTACACTTTGTCTTAATAGCTCTGCAAATGTTTGGTAGGGTTTGGATGGAAAAAAAGGTAAGGTTATAATACTGTGATCTTGTGGTCCTTCCTTTGTGTTCCCCTAGTAGGGTGGCTTCCCAGAAGCTTCCATTCCTCACTCCATGACTTAGTCATCTGTATAAGTTTGGTCAAATGTGGTGGAGATAAAAAGCTGACCACCTCACAGGGTTATTTGAGGACTGAATTAGAAAATGCACAGAAAGTATTTAGCACATGGCAATGCTCAATGAAGACTAATTTCCTCAATTATACAGAGCTCTTTCCTTTAATCTATCTATCTGTTAATACAGAACCTCTTCATGGTTGTGAAAGTAGGGAAATGAGAGACATTTCCTGACACTGGAAACAGTTGGCAAGTGGCTTCCAAAATTGAAATGATGACTTATTGGCATCTAGAACACACAGTTTTCCAGAACAACTCCCAATAACGCTGGGTAAAATCTATGCCTAAGAAAAGGTGTAGAGAAGGGGCCCTGGCAAGTAAACTACCTTTCCCAGAAATCTCTTTCTTTTGCTGCCCAGGACCACTGGGCCAAGAGTGGGCCTGCCATTGTGTGCAGTACACATAGGGAGCTGCCAGGAGTGTGAATGTAAGGAATGTGGGACAAAAGTCAACTGCTGAGGACAAAAAAAAAGTGCTCATGGAAAGTCAAAGTCTGAGAAATAAAACACATAAAGTTGCTAAATCTATTCCCAAGAACTCCACCAGGCTCTCAGCTCAGGGCTGGTTGTTCTAGAAACAGTTTCCCTATCTGATGGGACTAAAATTACAGGCTATGAGCACGGTGTTTTTCAGGCTCTCCTGATACCTCTATCTGATGAGGAACTTTTATTTTCCCTAAGTTAAGCCGTCCTTGACATTGTACCTAGAGGTAAGTTTCCAGTTCTATGTTATCTTAGAGCTTTTCAAGCTCTTGGATTTCACACGGAGTACCTCTAAAGGGGCATTTCTTACTGGTCTCTTGTTTGGGGTAGAAGAAAGAAAAGAAATTAAAAGAAAGGTTTGATTCTTTTCTCTTGAATTTCTGGCAAGGTTTATACTTCATTAATTGCCACAGAGATCCAGCCAGAGGGAAACATCACTGCCCTAAGCCCCACAGTTTCTGCACCCCACACCCAAACACATATCAATCACCAAAGTTACAGGAGAAATAGCAGGGAAATAACTAGCCAGCATGAGAAGACAGACACAGATAGAGATAATGGGACCACGATGGGGACACAGTGACCTACTTCAGTTTCCAAAGCCAAGTGCAGTAGATATTTATGCTGAATGAACAGCCAGGTACTAAGGGCAAAGTCCTTTTCAGGTGAACTCAGACATAGAAGTGAAGACAGCCCCTCCAGAAGCTCCATCAGTGGCTCAGCCTCTCTGTGGGCACACCGTCTCCCCACCTCCCTCTGCCGGATAGACCCCAGCACTTGCCTCCTTGTCCCTGCGGGCGGCATCTAGGGAGACTGAGATGTGGCCCTTGTGCTCACCCTGGCCACACTCCTGGCAGATGCACTGCCTATCGGGGTGACAGAAGGCGACCAGCGGGCTGTGGTGGGCAGGGCAGGTGCGCAGGTCCCGGTCCTTCACTGGCTCGGTCAGCTGGTGGCTGTGAAGTTTGCTGTTCTCCTGGTGCGGCCGCAGGTGCTCCTCGCAGTAATTCACCATGCAGGTCAGGCAGGACTTCACCGCCCTCACTCTGCTGGCCCCGAGGCAGAAGTCACAGAGAATCTCCTTCTCTCCTTCACCACCAGGGCCCCCCTGCAACCCAGTGCCGGTGTCCTGTCCCTCAATCTCCCCCTGGGGGCTCCCCAGGGAGCCCTTGTCCTCTTCTTCTGCTGGACTGGCTGACCCAGAGTCTGGGCTGAGAGTGGCCAGAGAGTGAGCAGTGATCCCGGGCAGTGGCCCCGGAGCCATCAGATCCAACTCAGCCATTTAGAAGGCTCTGCCACCTAAGCCGTCCTTCCTCTGCTCCTTGGCCCAGGATCTGCGCAGCCCAAAACAGACAAGAGAACCACGCCTAGATGATTGCAGCTGCAAGATTTTAACCGTTTCCTCCCTCCCAGAGGAAGCTCCGTTAGTCATTACTTGGCTCAGGAATTGGACAGCGGCCAGAGGCAGTGACGACAAGGCAGCTAGATTGCTCAAGCTCAGGACAGCTGGCTGCTCGGGATATCTCCCCTCACGCTCAGGCCCCTCCTCGTGTCCTGCCCAAAACTTCTATTCTTATGTGAATCATTTGTCCCTTATTGGCTCGGTGGAAGGCCATATGTGTCTGTGGCTGCTTTGGAAAGGACTAGAGATTCCCGAGCTCTGTTCTAAAAAGCCTATATTGGTTTACATTGTCTGACAGGCTAAGTTCATTGTTTTCGTTTTTCAAAGGGAGCCAAAAACATAAGGACTTCAGCCATACGGCAGCTATTCATTCATTCCCCTCTCATAGAATTGGACATGAGGCAGCTAGAAACAAGATACGTATTTCTGAATTGGACCTTTTCCATATCACCATCTTGCACATGCCAGGAGATAAGCTTCAGATGGGTATTCAGTGTGGATCAACAGAGTCAGCGGAAGAACTTGTCGCCTTCCACATAGAGCTCCATTCAGACAGCCCTCCCAGGCTACACATCCGGCCCTGTCGTTCCTAGAGAAGGGTGTATGCCAAGAAATAGCCCTTTTTCCCCACTTAATAAGGTGTTCCTAGACATGGGTATGAGTTTGCTTGGGCTGCCATAACAAAATACACTGACTGGTTGACTTTGTTAACCTAAAAATAAAAGGCCAAATTGAGAGGCAACGAGCATTTATTTGAAATAAAAAAGAATTCCTAATTGGCACTAATAAGCACTGCTTCAAGCAGAAACCTGTGGGGGAGGCAGAAAATTTCCTCTACCTTTCTAGGTTCTTCCAACTGGTCTAATAATCAAATAGACGTTAAACAGATTAACAAGAGAAAATAACTAAATATGGGAACCCCACATACATGGGAGAGTCAGAGACTCCACATACATGAGAAGGTCAGAGACAGAAAGGGAAAATGAGGTATATATGACATTCTGAGCTAAGGATGAGGTAAGGTGCCTTGGGGCTTCAGAGAGGAGAAAGGTCACTGCAGGATGATAAGAAGAGCAAATGTTCAGTAATTAGTAGTTTGCCCTGCCCTATATATAGGTCATCAAAAATTCTCTCTGGTGATAACTTTTATTATAGGCAACATCCTAAATTTAAATTGCTTGAGGGAGAGGTCCAAGTTTCTTGTGAGAATACAGGATCTTGATTGCCTCCAGCTCAAAAGAGTTTACATGCTAAATTGGCACATCTTGGGGAGGCCGGTTCTGAACTCCTTCAAACCCAAATAGTTTTTGATTAGGCGGGTGAAGGCAAGGGGTTTTTATAAGAAAGGGGAAGAGGAATAATTACATGAATAGAAGGAAGGAATTTCTGAAGGTGCAAATAAGCTGTTATTCTTTAGATATGCATGGTGCTAATTCTAATTCTAATGTTAATTCTAAAGGAAGTCTTTATTTTTCAATTCAGTAGTTAGGATGTCTCTTTCCTGTTATCTTGCAAACAAATGTTTGAAATACAATGTTGGTTTGGCCCAGTCCAAAGATTATTTTTCCCAGTTCAAATATTCCAAAGGTTGCAGGAATAAGACACATACAAGGCTGCCCTAACTCTATTTTTAAATGACGTGAACTTTTCACAGTTTAAAAAACAGAAATTTATTTTCTTACAAATCTGGAAGCTGGAAGTCTAAGATCAAGGTGTTGGCAGGATTGGTTTCTCCTGAGGCCTCTCAGCTTGGCTTTTAGATGGCCATCTTCTCCCTGTGTCCTCCCATGGTCTTCCCTCTGCATGTGTGTGTGTCCTACTCTCCTGTTCTTATAAGGACATCAGTCATATTGGATTAGGGCCACCCTAATGACCTTATTTTACCTTAATGATTTCTTTAAAGACGCTGTCTGCAAATACAGTCACATTACAAGGTACTAGGGATTAGGACTTCAATTTATGAATTGGGGTGGAAGGGAAGACACAATTCAGCCCATTACACATGGCCAGAGGATGAGACAGGGAGTATCTAGCATCATAAAAACAGGTATCACCACTGGATGGTGATACACAGTGTACTTAGTATTTGCCAGATGAGCACCAAAGAACCCATGGACCCCAATTCTGTATCCTAGAGAGACTCTACAGCAGCGGTTCTCAACCTGTGGGTCGTGACCCCTTTGGGGGTCAAACAATCCTTTCACAGGGGTTGCCTAAGACCATCAGAAAACAAAAAGATATTTACATTACGATTCATAACAGTAGCAAAATTACAGTTATAGAGTAGCAATGAAAACAATTTTATGGTTGGGGGTCACCACAACATGAGGAACTGTATTAAGGAGCCGGGGCATTAGGAAGGTTGAGAACCGCTGCTCTACAGCTTTCCCCCAGGGTTTCTTCAGATATACTCATATGGATTTGGAAAACAAATGGAATAGAGAGAGACTAGAGGAGGGGGCCCTGTTCCAGCTCACCCCTGGGATCAAAATGTACTCTGCATTGCTCTCCACCTCTGGAATGAGTTCTGCAGGATATGGATTAAACCAGATAAAACCAAGGGACATTTGCTGTTAGTGACCAGGATATTTCATAAATCCAAGAAATCAAGAGGCTGCTCAAAGTTGGGGTGCGCAGAGGACTATAAAAATCTGTTTATTTTCAATCATGCATACAATATGCATATCATGATTGCCCAAAAGCAGCCTTTTTCAGCAATGCGTATAAAGTTTCCTAAGTCTCCCTGTCCTGACTACCCTCTTCCACTGCTGAAGATCCCCCCGAGAGGAGTTTCCTCATATTGCATTTCTTGGTTTTTAGATCTCCAACCAGGAAGAAAAGGAGCTGGCTTCTGACGGTTGCCCAGGACAGGGCTGTTTTCCTTTCAGAATGACCTGGTACTGGAAGCTGAACAGAGCCTTTGATCTTTCTGGTGAGGAGGAAGGGAAGGTGGTTGCCTGCCTGACCCGTTCCACAGCGTCAGGTGCCAATTAGAGGGCATTGGTCCAGCCTGGGTTTCCTTGTGGCCTCTCACTCATCTCCCATTCTTTCCCTCCCCATTTTATTTTCACGCTGTCTCCTTTCATGAATTTTTTCCCTGCCACACTATCTTTATTACTAAACCAGTAGGGCAGCTCATGAACATGCTCAACCCTTCTCCTGGCTGACATTCCACAGCTGAGTGGGAAACAGGAAATCTGAATTTTCAGTCCCAGACAACTTGAGAAAATCATTTGTCCTCTCTTAACCTCAGTTTTATCCATAAAATGAGTAGGTTGGTCTAAGTCAAAGCTGGTGAATAAATTCCTGGTTTGGCTCTCTGAGGAATTGTGCTGTGTCTAATTCATATTTGAGCTAAGCAGGGGTTATTGGAGCAAAATCACCAATCACACAGAGGAGTGCCACTGCAAGTTCAAGATCACTACCCCCCAGTGAGATCCGGGTAGTGCACAGCCATCATGCCATGCCTCTCTTCCTTCTCTACGAACTGGGTTCCTCCCTCCTCAGCCCTCTCACTTCTTCCCACCTCCTCTCTGTGCAGAGGATCCTGACTCATGCTTCACAGTGAAAAAGAAGCCACTAATTAGGAATTCCTTAATATTCCCATGACCGGATCTACAAAGGTGCTACCATCTGTAGCCTCTCCTCCTCCTTTCTTCCTGCTGCAATAGAAGCAGTGTCACTAAAACTATTAAAGTCTAGTCCCTCCTCATGTGAGCTGGACTCCCCACCCCCACCCCTTACTTAGGGGCTCTGCTTCTTCAGTGATGCTCTTTTCTGCACATTTACTCTGTCTCTCTCCACTAGATAGCTTCCATCAACATGCAAACATGTTTAAAAATTTTTTTAAAATCTCTCATCTTTAAAAAATGTTTTCTCCTGTCCCCACATGCTGGTCCAACTCAGATCTACAAGTCTCAGCTTCAGTGTCCCTCCCCAGTGAGCTCCCCCCACTGACCACTCACCTTGTCATTCCACTTTCCACTGTTTATCCAGCACCTACCATTTGAGCTACAGATTTCCTAAGTGAATAAGGAATAACTACATATGGTTCACCTGCTCCTATAGGCTCCTCTGGCCTTTATACGGCCCTTATAACTGTAAGGTTGATGATTTTTGACACATTGTCATTTCGTGTTCCATGCTCCTGTGAGGAGCTGGAGCTCTGACCAAAGCCGTCTGCCTTCCGCAGTCACTTCGGTAGAGTCCTCCTTGGCCATTCTAGCAGCAAGAAGGGACACTGAAGGTCTGCTGCCATTTTCCTCCTATTCCTGACTTTGTTCAGATCAGCACTGACCATCAGGTCCATTCTACAGTCTTCTGGTTGGTCTCCATAACAGTGAATTATTGTATGCCAACAATGCACTGAGATCAACTCAGACAAAGAGATGGTCTGCCAGAGTGAGGCTTACCCAGTGGTGTTAATCAGACACCACTGACTTCATCCTAACCAACCCCAAACACTCAGCCTTGTATGAAACAAAGTGTCTCTCTCTTCATCACAAAATAAATGTAATTTCAGCTAGGTATCTTTTCCTGAGTCAAACTTGCTACCACGAATATTAGGGTCAAGTTGTGGTTTGGTCTTTTTTTCCAGAAGTGAGGGAGGTTTTTGTTCCCAGAATTTTGAGGACTTAAGTTCTACTAAGCCATATGGTTAAATTCTACTAAGCCATAAGCCAATTGATAGGCAGAAAGCTAATTATTACTCTTTCATCCAGTTGACTTTGTGACAAATAATCCCACAAACAAAGTCTCTAAGAGATACATTGACAATGAATGCCAACAGATCCCCTTCTAGTTTTTGAGAGCAAGGCCATTCATTACCTTGAGACATCTGTAAGAATTCAAGAAAAGCTTTCTTAACCTGAAGACTCTATTTGGTTGTTTTTGGCTAAAAAAAGCTCCCCAAGCTTTTCTCTTGAGCAAATAGCTTTCAGTTCATCTCTTCAAAAATCTCATTAGATTTTTTTTTCATTTGTGTCTCTACTGAGCCATGCAGAGCTGTGATTCACAAACATAGGTAACAGGTGCCCATCAGCCTGTAGAAACAAAGAAAAATCAGGCCATCTGACTGATAAAATAAGAATAATATAACAAGCTAGCCATAAACTGA